TTAAGTTAAAAACTGTAGATTATTTGTGATCAGCTTATTTAATGAAATACTTCTGGCTAAGTATCCCTCTGTTTATTGTTGCAGTTGTCATTGCAAATAATTGTAAGATAACAAGATACCTTCCAACTATGTCCACCATCATATAATCACGTCTTATTTATTCATGTAGTACAGTCAAAGGAGGGAGAAATGCCAGTTGGTTTTGCAAAAGTCAGGAGTTTTGCTTTATTGGCACAAAATTGTTTACTTCCTTGTAATACTCAAAAGAAACAGGTGCAATCCACTGTAAATGCTCACAAATGAAGGAGATCTGTAATCATTGATGGAACTAAAAAACTAGGGCTGTAAATACTCTGGGCAGCTCATCTAGGTGATCTCTGTACCCAGAGGCAAGATAACTAATTGAAAACCATTCTTCACTGATACTTGTTCTTCTGCGTCTGCCTTGTTGGTGGTTTCACATATTCTCCAAGTGATTTTTCTCTTGCTTATCTGTATTTTCTATTGAAAAGAGGTTTTATCAGAAACCTCCCATGCTTATTATCATTAATTTTTTCCATATTCCTAGAAGAGTTGATTTATTTTCTTTTCTGCAACAGCATTTTTCATATTTGAAGACTGTTTCACATCTCCCCTTGGTTTTCCCTACTTTAGACTAAATAAACATAATTTTTCAGTGTTTCCTAACAGGTCACATATTTTTAGATCTTTGTCATTCTTATTTTTCTCCTCCTGTCTGCTTGAACTGATCTGATGTTGTTTGAAGAGTTTTGCTCAAAGCTGGACTCTTTATTTCTCTGTGTTCTTCAGACTTTTCTGGTTTAGGCTAGCTGACATCTGAGTGCATGTATACATCATACATCTCTATCCCATTATATATTTTTGTGCAGTGAAGTACATTAAGTCAAGTTTAGACTTGTTTCAAAACACTGGGGATAGGATGAAACCAGAGGAAAGACATCTTACTATCTGTATGAGTCTTGGTCTTCTTCTATTTGCAGTGTAAAAATGAATCACAGAAATCCAGCACCACTACTGATTTCTTTTAGAAACTCTTCTCTACCTTGCTCTTTGGGCTCAAAACTGTAACACTGAAATCAATGGAAGGAAAGAGCTTGAGGCTTTTTGATGTATATATTTTGCATACTGTGTGATGAAAAGAGAACTGACAGGCATGTGCAGTAGCAGAAGTGAATGAGTTCTCCCAGTTACAAGCAAGAGAGTATTTAGTGCCAATTAAGACTTTGATCCTGAAATAGAAGGGCTGTGCAGAGAATTACCTCTGTCGCGTTCTCTTGCATAACTTTTAATTCACAAGCTTTGAGATAATTTGGAGAACTGGATCTCTAGCAAACAATTGTTAAAACTCGTGCAAACCCAGTAATTTGTTCCATGCTTAATGAATGAATGTCCTCTAGTAACAGTTTACAGTGAGTAAATTATAGGCTTGTGAGATATGAAAGGTTCACACAAACTTTGCTTGGAAGGACAAAATCTGACTAGTAGAAGATTTGATCACCCCCTAACTTATTTTCTGTTCTAGTATTCTTAATTTAATAATCTTTCTGGTTTTCTGCTATGGAAAATGGTATCAGAAATATTGATGGTAATGCACAGTTGTGAGTGAGTATCAATACTGTCCTTATGGGGCTATTAAAGGAAAGATGTGCACACTCCCTCTCTCTGATATTTATTTTGTGGTGGTAGAATTTTACTTGTTAAGTAGTTTCAAGTTACTAGGGCATCTTGCAAAGTAGAGCTTGTATTTGTAAGTGTAATAAAATGTAGCCCTTTGACTCACCATTTCCCTCAGTGTATTTTTATACTTTTAAAAAATATGAATTCCGTGTTTATGAAAGTCTGAAATGTTAGCCTTGGAGTCTGAAATACTTTATTTAGAGAACAGAAGTGCTCAGGCTGTTTCACTTCTCAGGCTGATCTTGGTGTTCCTTAACCTGTGGTGAAATGAGCTACCTCCATGAGTGAAATGCAGTTTCAGTTTTTAAACCCAGTCTAGTCTATTCCTTTTTCTTCAAATGGCTAACCAGTGTGGTGAACGGTGCCTGGAAGATTTTGGATCAAAAACATGTTGATCTTCATTTAAGGAGCTAAATTAATGTTTTAGCCATCCAAAATTGCAACAGTGAGCTTGCCTAGTGGTCACGTTCAGAGTAAGAAATGTTCTCCTTGTGTTTGTGTATGTAACAACAGATAAAAGTATGACCTTCAGAAGTTGCCTTGATGTTTGAAATTACTTGTTTCCAGAGGAATCTAATGTGCATTCAAACATGCTGCGTTAGCACTCTGTGCAGCCTGAAATGTACATAACCATCCCTGGTCAATTAACCGTAAAGGAGGCTGAGCATTTGAACTTAGCAGTGAGGAATGGCCATTAACAAATTATGTTGTTAGCTTGCTCATGCTACAGTATATTAAAAAATCTGATAATTAAGGATTATACACAGAGGACCTTCTGAAAATGACAGGGAAAAAATATAGGGTTTGGGGAATTTTTTTTTTTTTTTTTTTTTTTTTTTTTTTTTTTTTTTTTTTTTTTTTTTTTTTTTTTTTTTTTTTTTTTTTTTTTTTTTTTTTTTTTTTTTTTTTTTTTTTTTTTTTTTTTTTTTTTTTTTTTTTTTTTTTTTTTTTTTTTTTTTTGGCTAGACATCTGGCACTTCCAGATGACGTCATCTCTTTCAGAAGCGTTGTCCGGATAAGCGGTAAATGGTTGACTTGGTTTATATTGTGGTCTGGTTGTTCTGTGATGAATAGAAGCTAAAGCTACTGAAAAAACACTTACTTTGCTTTCTTGCTTTGAAATACGAAACAGTAAAAGTAACCCACAGAAAAAAGGTCTTACACTACAGATAAGTTCCCTGCATTTTGACAAGAAAATTTTCAGTGATTTCAAGTTGGTCTTTTGCCACATCTGTTGTCTTCACATACACAACTCATCCCATCTGTATTTTTTGCAATTTCACATAGTAAGTACTCTTTGCAGGATTTTGATACCTAGAAAGTTACAAACAATCACAACTGCATGTGTTTTCTTCTGTGTTTTGAACAAAAAGAGGTAATTTTCCCCCTTTTTCTTTCTTAAAAGCCTGCAGTGTTGAAACTGAGGACAATAGGATGCAAAAAATGTGCTCAGATCTTCTGAGGTTATTTATGGGCTAGTTGAACAGTTAAAACTGTTTTGCTTTCTAGCATTGGTGCCTGTATTTTTTCCTTACCTACATATCTGAAGAACTGCATTCACAACTTGTGATTTGTGGATACTTGAATAGGAAATAATGTAAATTGATTTTTTCTTAAATTAAATTTACTTGCAATTTACTGTTTAGCTGTAAATGCTCATCATCCCCTGAAAGTGTGAAAAGTGGTAAACCAGAAATTGTAGTGAGAGCTGTGGAAGCTTCATTGCCCTGACATCCCCAAGGCCCTTCCTTTAGTCCCCTCCTTCCTAGTGCTTCCCACCGCCTTGTCTTAGATAGTGACATAGCAACATCAGTAGGCAAGCTACATCTCTTTCTTCTTGGCACTGTGTTTTGTGTGGCTCTAATGTGAGAAAACCCCATAATTTCCAGCCTAGCCTCTCGGAATTCCCCCTGTCAGAGCCCAGACAGAAGATATCTTTGTGTGCAGAGACTTGGAGGCCAGAAGACATTGTTATGACCATTCCATCTGACCTCATGACCATAACTGTTTACACTAGAACAGGATTGCTGGAATTGGCACAGCTGAAGCTAAGGCTGTTCTGCAGCTAACTCGAGCTATCTGTGGGCAAACCCCACACTGAGGTCTGCCCTCAGGCTGGCCCCAGAGCCAGAGCAGACCTGTCTCTCCCTTCGGTGCTGGGTGTATGCTCATGGCGGGGCAGCCTCTTCCAGGTGGGCTCACGGAGGTCCTTGGTGTCCACCCACAAACCGTGGTGTTGTCTCAAGCCTCATTGCCTCTGCTTAAGCACCTCTGTCTGTTTTTTGTAGTGGCTAAGCTACAGTACTTTGGTCCTTATACAGTGCCTTACAGTACCTGGGTTCCTAGTGTTCTTCATGATAACACTCTCTGCTTTGGATAAGTGGTAAAAGGTGATCGCTTAGAAGAAGGACAATGTATACAGTGGTAGTTTTCAAAGCAAACAGACTGAACTTTATTAGGTGAAAATTTAATGTACTTTAATTTAATGTACTATAAATTAGTATTTGAATGTAAAATTCCTAATATTTTCTTGCTTTCCCTGACATAAAGCTGATAATCCTTTGATAGTAAAACCTTTTTAATCCTTGTATAATGAACTAAATTAATGTTTTAGCCATCCAACAGTGATCTTACCTAGTGGTCATGTACAGAGTAAGAAATATTGATAATCCTTAAATAATATGAAAACAAGCTTTCTTTATCAGACAGAATTTTTATTGATATACTGTCAGTCTTTCAGTGATTCCTAAAAAGCCTCCCAGAAAATTTTGTCCTAAAGCTGTTATTATCAGCTTTCGCTCTAAATGACTGTTACGGAATTTCAGAACAGCATGTACTATAAATTAACCTTTTTTAAGAGAGGAAATTTGTAGCTAAATAAAGTATATGAATAATATAAATATGGGTATTGTACAGGTGGGACTACAGATGTATAAAACACATTAGATTTCATACATAATTATATAGCATTTATGTATAATTGGTATCATACATTATATTACCTGCATAAAATAGATATAGTTAAGTATTTTGCATTATGCAATAGTATTTCACTGTCCCGAGAAATTAGGAGACTGAGAACTGGCTAACTGAAGAAAATTATGAAGCTATAAATTTTGTATTTCGTATTGAAGACACTGGGAGCACATGAGCATAAGACTTGAAAGAGCATTAATGCAGTACATAATCATCGTATTTATATATGGAGATAACAGGTGATAAATTCTTCAGCAATTCAGAGTGATTTTCTGCAATATTTTAAATATTGTTATGGGTTAATGTTTATATCAACTGTATTTTAGATATCTGATATCCATGTTACTGGAGAGTCAGAGGACATGTCTGCTAAAGAGAGACTGCTCCTGTGGTCGCAGCAAACAACGGAGGGTTATGCTGGAATACGTTGTGAAAATTTCACTACCTGCTGGCGTGATGGAAGATTATTTAATGCCATCATTCATAAATACAGGCAAGTACTCCATTTGTTCTCTTGGAAACTATTAATTACAGCATTTTAGTGTACGTACACAGGGCTGTGTGGTTTATGCCTGTAACAGCTGTGGAGATGACACTGACTCTTCCTGGGCTATTTCCTGCTCTTTACAGCCAAAGGATGCCTCGTTATCCTTTTCATGCCCCTCCTTCCTCAGAGGAATATCTCCATGACTCCTACACACCTCTCATGGGGCATCTCCAAGCTGCTAAGAAGAATGTCCCCAGAGTTCAGTCTTCTACACAGTCCCTTTTTGTCATAGTGATATTTAAGGGTAGGATAGAGGCAGAACTGATCACCAAAATCCACAATTGCACTGCTAGGAAAAGCCATCAACTACTGCATGACCTGGGATATGTCTGAGATCCCTGGATTCTTCCTTGTATGACTTTACCATGTCCCTGGAATATAGAACTTCTTCAGTATTTATACTTGGAGATGCATCTCCTTTAAAATGGCCAAGTATTCTCATGGAAAATGTGACCAGCTGGCTTGAATGTTCTCAGTCTGTGAAGGGGTTTGTGCTACTGTATGTTTTTGTGACTACACTCTTACAAAGTGAAGCAGGCATTGCTAGAGCCATTGCTGGCTGTGGCTAGAGTCTAAAGGATACAGTATGTTAACTTGAGATACAGCTGAAGGTGTCTACTGACAGGAGAGGCTTTCTAATTCTGGTTTAGAAGTGAGAACAGGTCTGTCTTAACAAAGCTGACTTTGGCATCAAGCTCATCAGAGGAACAAGATTTAGTCATTGCTGTGCTCAGTGTTCCCTCTTGGTTGGCAACATCTCTCTCTTATCGTATATTTTTTGGTTCCTGAACTGAATAAGAAGGTTTGTGCCTTAAAGGACCACATGGGAGAGTGTTCTGGCTGCTGGCCTAATTAGTGTGTACTGACTTGTCCTTTACTACACAAAGCTTTCTGGGTAGTTTGTACTGTATGCCCTGGAACATATCTTATGGAAGTCTTAAGAGTACATTATTTCCTTGGTGTAAGATGAAAGAATGTCCCTAGCAAAGCCAAATTTCGTGTGTTTTCATGCAGCTATAGGGAACAGAGCCTGCAGCAGATTATTCTGTTCTTGGATTTCCTCTCATGAGACCACTTGGCCAACCACAGAAAGAAGTCTAGGCAGACACAACACACATGTGGTCCTTTTAGGGATTAGGATAGTGAAGTAAAATGGGAGAAAAGTCAAGCAGGTGTAGCCTTTTCCTGACAGGATGTGTGTAAAGGCTGTAAGCATCACACATAGTGCTCAAAGTCCCAGAGAAGTTAGCTGTGGCAGTGCATAACTTTGTGGTAAAATGAAGCTGCATCTGAATCAGTGAGGTCTTTTTCTAGCTTTGCTTCTGTTCTGGGTAGCCGGTTGGGGAGGAAGTGCATACCAGCAAGAAAGTCTCTTTTAGTAACATTGGCAAGACAAAAGGAAATAGCTGGCAAAAGGCTAGACTGTTTTACTTCAGGACAGAGCAGCCAAAAGAATGAACATAGCACAGGCAAGTATTTGTAAAAATAAACAATATGAAAGGTAATAATTGGAGAAAAAAAACACTGGGAGCTTAATGAGATGGAATAATGGAAAATATTTTCCAGAGCTTCTTCATATCCTTATACATCTTACATAGAGCAGTGTAGCCTTTACAGCTCAGCAGCTAGTAGTTGTGGTACAGATCAATTAATAAGTAGAGAAAAACTTGAATACTGTCCTTCAGCTGTATGAATGTTAATGCCTTGGGATATGACTGAGTTACTTTGCTGGAACAGTGTTTCTTATGTTGCTCCATGAGTTTCATTCACGCTGTCTCAGCGGGGAAGGAAAGGCACCTTTGACATGAGTGTATTGCACAAAGCAAATGATTCATTGGCTAAGGAGCAGAGTCCCCATTTTGTGTGCTTCTGTGCCAGTTTCCATTTAGCTTGTCTTCTTCCTGTAAGCATAACTTCTCCACATAAGGATCCCATGTCCTTCTAGGGAATGTTTACCGTGCTTATCTAACATGTTTTTGCTGTGAGAGGTTACAGGTTCTTGGATTCCATGTGCTGATTGAATCAGTGAGATTCTTCCACTGATTTTAGTGAGTTTCTATGTTTCTTTCCTTTGCTGTTTTGTACCATTAAACCACAGATAATAATTTCCAGCTATTGCTCACAAGATAGGAATGATCTTCCCAAACAATCATCTGGTATTTTTAACTACAGTGTTTTACTCCAGAGAGCTCCTTTAAAACTTGGTTTGTGTTCTGAGCAATACGCAGGTTAAACACTAAAAAATTGACATTTCTGGCAGTGGTTCTCCATTTGCTCTGTTTGTCTGTTCGAGTAGCTTCCAGTTTGTGGATCACAGGTGATCTCAGGATCCACACTGGGCATTCTTGCAGATGCTGGTGGCTGGTTTGCTCCATCAGGGTGGATGAGCAGTTGTGCCTGCTTGGGTGGGACTGTGGTGCTGCCACTGCGGAGCACCCCCCTGCCAGTGGTGGGGCAGTGTGACAACCCCCCTGCACCAGGTATTCTGTGCTCGCTGGAGATACCTCTTCTTAGAGAAGCACTGTGAACCCTGGGCTGGGAGGAGCATCTACTCTCTGTGAATGGGGGACAGGGCTCTTCAGGTGGGACATGACGAATTCCAGTCCTGGAAGGGATTTAATTGGACTCAGACTTAATTTTAAGGTCATGACACTTTGTGCTATTACAGTAATAACCAGAAGGCTCAAATACCCAGGCATGTATCTAGAATTGCAGTTGTGCTGCGCCACAGCTAGCTGTATGTTGGATAGAGAACACACACCTACCCAAGCCAGGGTACAGCAGTGGGGGCTTCCCAAGGAGGTCTGGCAGGGCAGGGCCTGACAGCCAGAGCCTCTTCCACTGCCCCGGCTGGGAGCAGGGCAGCTGGGGAGGGCACCAGGGCTGCCCCAGCCCTCAGCATCAGGGACCTCTCTGGGGGTATGCTGAGGCTGGACTGGCATGTGTGCTGCTCTCAGGTTGGCTGTGCCACTGCAAGGGCCATAGCTCAGCCACAGGCCAGAGGTAAGAGCACCAGTAGCTCCCAGAGGGTAGGAGCCACGCTGCCTCTGAGCTGAACCTGGTTGCAGACAGGCAAACCCCATGCTCACAGCCCTGACACCAAGGCTGAGAGGCCTTTTCTGGATGCACCATCAAGAACACGAGCTACACTAATCCAGTATGTCTCTACAGTCAGTCGTCCATGAGACAGGGAGATATCACTGTCAGGTTCTAGGTGACAGGATGGGAGTGGCAGGTCATAATTACCTCCTCTCAAGGCATAAGTGATTTTTTTTAAATTGCAAGTATGCACCAGCTTCATGACTTCAGGAAATTGCTGAAGCTGTGAAGGGTTGGGCGAGGAGCTGGGCTGTGACTCATGCACGAGCAGGCAGGGAGCCTCTCCCTTCGGTGGAGCTGGCAGCATGCCTGCTTTTAATGGTAGGTTAGAATTGTTTTGGTTTGGTTTGGGGTTTTTTTTGGGTGTTTTGTTTTTTTTTTTTTTTTTTTTTTTTTGTTCTGACGGAGGATCCCAGCACCTTTTGGTACAAGCCAGCTAAAATTTATGATCCAGAACTGCAGGAGTAGTGCATGGACATGTCATATCTCCTTGTTCTCTCCAAGAAGCATGGGAGAAGCCCCATAAGGCCAAAGTTTCCCTGTCATGACTAACTAATATGCACTGCATCATCTTGGCAGAGATTGGTGAGTTCAGTGGGTGATCCAGGTGCCTCCCTGTCTCCCTGTCCTTCCTACACCCACAGCCACGGTGGCAGTGCTGCCCTTCCAGTGTCAAGCAAGGGATGTGGGCAGTGTGCAGGTGCTGGATCACATGCACTGAAATCAGTCACCCGTTCTCCTGAGCAAGTGCAGGATGTTTGTTTTGTGTCTTGTTGAGCAACAAGGGTTAGGATATCAGAGCTTTCTATTGTTGCCTTAAGAGACCGAGAAAAAAGACTCCAGGCCAATTTAGTGTATAAGATAAGATAAAGAGAGTGGGTCCTTTAATTAGCCCTCAGGCCAGGGGAATACACATAGTGTGAGTAAACCCAGACAGTGGTTCTATGATTTTATAAGATCCATCCAATCCCAGATCTGCCCACCCCCTGGTTTTGCCCAGTTCTGCCCCTGACATGCCCCTTCGGGAATTAGATCTGGAGGCATCTGGGACCCCTTCTTCCTCATCTTCATCTTCTTCACAGCACGGACAGTCCTTGGAGCTCCTCCAAAGTTCTGGGCTTGAAGGTCACTGTGCCTGTGTGATATCTTCTGGTCCAGGCCTTAAAGTGTTCTTCTGCAATTCTACCTTGAAAAGAAGACTAAACACACTAACAGAATTTAGAGGGATTGATATGAAATGGGGTAATAGGGTTGGGTATGTGTAAACATTATGCTACACGGTAAGGGAGATAATACAGCTACATTCAAATCCACATTTACTGCACAACTACTTCTAAAATCTACAAAAGTTAAAGAAGTCCAAAAAGCTCTGAGCCATCACTATAAAGGCCTTTCTTACTTCCATTGAGAGCATGAATAAGTTGCCAGTCATTTTGCAGTGCTCATCAAATCAAGGAAAGTAATTTTATGAATAACAGAAATGAGAGGAAAAAGTTGCTCTGTTTGAGGTATTTGGCTCCATATAAAACTTGATTTTTTTCCCCCCACCGAATTTAGAAAAAAGTAATTTATTCTCATATGAGAAGATTCCTTATGTTTTCAACAGTTTCCAGTGGTCTGTGTTTATATGGTAAGATTGAAGATTACTTAGCTGAACTTTTGAAGAGTATATAAAGCTTCCATTTACATCTTGTAGACAGTTAAATCCCTGGGACTGAACAAGGCTTCCCACTGGCCTCAAGAACAGCCATGGGGGGTGCTCCGTTGCAGGCCCTGGATTTTATTTTAATCATAGAATCATAGAATGGTTTGGGTTGGAAGGGACCTTAAATATCATCTAGTTCCAA